AGTTATTTATATCAGAAATACTGATTATGCTAAATACTTTAGTCTTTGCTGTGAATGAAAATATCAAATCTAATTAAGATCAAGAACCAGCTGAAATAATTGGTTGGATTAATGTAAGTGGCTTTACTTTAATTCTTATTTCAACATTAACTATAGATGTCTATCAACAATTATAAAAATATTGTAGGCCAGTCTTACTTTAAGTCAGTTTACAACCAATAAAATCAGGCATTTTGAGTATTTGATTATAAATTAATCAAATTGATTTATCAAATTTAATTTATTCTATCATTAAATATATTCTTAAATTTCGTTTAATCTTTGATTTGATAAATATTATTATATTACAACAAATAAATTTCATTTATTTTTTGGATTAATTTTAAAAGTTAATCAAAATTACACTAAAATATTAGAAGTCTTTTAATATTTTTACTATTTTCTTATTATGGAAGGGTCATTATTGTAAGATAGGAATACATAAGATATTTCAAAATTATTAATTAATATTGACCCTCGCTCTTATTTGAAAGCCTGCAAATTAGCAGGCAATTCTTCCTTCATTGTAATATCTAACAAATCACTTTTAATTCCAATTGTAAATGTAACTTTACTGTTCTAGGCAAAATAATTTCCTATAGGAGATTATTGTTGTTTTCAATTTTTTGCCAATCTCAATAATAAAGTATTGGCAACTTCTAGATTACTCCTCAGTCTAGGTTTGGTTGGTATCAAGCCTTGACACAAATTTTCAATTGATATAACTCAAATTAATAATTGTAATTTTTCTTTCCATATTTAAAAATAAAATCCGAATTTCCGCATTAAATTAACTTGATTCCAATCTCGCTTTTATATTGATATCACTTATTTTAGCCTTATATAGCACAATAGTTTTATTTTATATTGAAATTAGAATAAACAGGCTTACTCATTGAGAAATTAAATTTTAACTAAAAATAATGTTAATTTCCTACTTCAAAAACTAATTTTTTTCAAAATAAAAAAAAGGGTAATCTCTAATAAGTCAGATATTCTTTTTGACTTTTCAATTATAGAAGACTAAAATTGATGCAGTCACAAATACTAATAAATTAATAATTAAACATTGTTCTCTTTAGTTGTGAAATTATACCAAAAATGAAATATAAATCTAATTTATTTTACATTAGATAAAGTAAAAATAAAAGAAACAACCACACATATCTCATAATGAAAGTTTATATTTAATTAGATCAATAATAAATTTAGTATTTAAGCACTAGAGATGGTTGAAATTAAGAGATATCTTTTAAGATTGAATTTTATATAAGATTAATTATGCAGTTTGATTTTACGTGAATTCAGTATGATGAGGATAGAATGAATTTAGAATAGTTGATCTTTATTTTGATTAAAAAGATTAGGCAATTAGGGTTCAAAGATTTAATTATTTAAATAATAATAATAATAATAATAATGATGTATGAATAATCTATCATTGTCGACGGCCCCGTTTGATTTGTAAGAGGTCGACCCTCATTAAACAGGAGTGTTTAAATATTTGTTGTTTCTCAAACGTTCTTATGCAGAACGGGCAGATCATGAACTGGTCTATCTTTAATTTGGTTAGCCCCTAGCATCTTAAGATCTTGTTCAATCTATTCGCTACTTTCTTTAGCTCTTCTCTTGATTCTCCCTGTAACAAACGACAGGGCGTTAATCTCTATCCTTGCTCATTCACATCTATTTCAATCAGTTTATATTCTGCTCCATTTCTTAGTTCAGCATACACTACCACTCCAGATTTTTCATAGAAAGTGTCTACATGGTATAAATCATTGCATAACA